GTCTCTTTAGTCAGTGAAACCCAGCTTTCAGCTGCAACCCAGAAGTCATGTCGAGGTCAACTCGCGTGTCTGGGAAGAAGCAATAATCGGCAAGTCCGCACGCACTTTGGCGCACCAGCGCCGTTGCGAGCTCAGTCCGCTTGGGCGGGGGGGTGGACTGGAGTAGCAACAATGAGCGACTTTCCATCCAGACCTGTGAGGGTTCCTTGGCCACCAGGCGTTTACAACACTGGTCGCGTTGCCATAGCACAACACCACATCCACTCCATGCCCCTCCTCACGGCAGTTGTGTATGGAGTACCGCGCTCCCAGGCGCATCCATGTGCCCTCGTAGAAACTGAACAGCTTCTCGCGCCGCTCACAAAGGAAGTGGTTCTAGGTAGACATGGCCCTAGAATCATCGCGGGAGACTTTAATCATCCCAGCGCAAGCCTCCAGGACATTGCGTTGTGGAAAGAACGGGGGTGGCAAGAAATTCAGGATATAGCCAGGGACCGCTGGGGTGCGACCATTGAAAAGACCTGCAAAGGAGCCACTCAACATGACTACATTTGGCTATCGCCGGAAGCGATTGCCCTGTGCCAAGGCTCGCAGATACATCACATCTTTGCGGACCATGTGGTCTTGGAGGCGAAGCTCTGCGTGCCCCACACTGCGTGCAATGTGTTCACATGGCCACGGCCGGCCACAATCCCGTGGGAAGATGTTGATGTGGAGACATGGCATGCCACTGCGGAGCCTTATTCAAAGGCGCCTGTTTCTGCAGAGCCCACCCAGTGGTTCCAGGAATTCTCCCAGCATTGGGAGCACAGTGTCGCGCCTCACGTTGCGGGACCCACAGGCCAACTCCCTCGTAACTGCAAAGGCAGAGCAGCAAGAACAGCGCCTGCGCACAGGGCAATAGCGCCCAGTGTGCTGAAGGCGAGCAGACCAGGAGAAGTTTGTATGGCAAGTGACCTGCTAGGCAGGGAAGTCAAGCGGTGGTTTCAGCAACTGCGTAGACTGCAGAACCTGCGGAGTGCGCTGCGGGGGGGTAAGCAGAGCCCGCAGGCTTTAGAGTACCGTCGTCTACTCTGGCAGTCTATTCTAGAGGCGAAGGGCTTTACGCCCAACTTTGTCGGCTGGTGGCCGGGACGGCCAGCGCAACTGCAAGGGGCCCCGGTTCAGCTTGAGTCCATTCCAGAAGCAGCTGCAGCCAGCCTGATCTATGAAGATTTCCTCAGTAACTACCGCAAACTCGAGAGATGGCACCTCAAACGTTGAGAAGACGTGTTGCAAGCCAAGTACGCCGAATCCTCCTGTGTCCTCTTTGCCGTTCTCCGTCCATCAAAGCCACCGCCACTTGACACACTTGCCGTCCAACATACCATTGAGGTACTAGCGGTTGACGAGGCAACTTGTCAGATTCACCTTGAAAAGGAGCCCAGCTCCAAGGGCACTTCCTGCTTCAGTGTGGAAGGGACGCCAATCCACCTTAGCAAGGTGGACGGGGCGCTGTGCCGGGTGGAGGAGGCGGACATGCACCTACTGCATGAAGGTGCAGAAGTAGAGCAGGAGCAGTTTATCTCTGACCCCAATCAGGTTTTTCAGGAATTCATTGACCTTTGGCAGCCTAGGTGGAACCAGAACGCACAGATGCGACCAGAACACTGGACCCGCATTCTCAACTTCACCAGGTTTTTGAGGCCAGTTGCAAGTTTTGATTTCCCACTGCTGCACCGCACTCAGTGGCTTCAGGCAATACACAAAATGAAGAAGACAGCGGCGCGAGGGCCGGATGCATATGCCAGGCTTGACCTGCTGAACATGGCTCCGTGCCACGTGGACCAACTTCTAGAACTCATACACGCCATCGAAAGTGGGCGCACAGACTGGCCGCTCCAGCTGTTGCAGGGCTTTGTGTGTGCCGTAGACAAACAAAACCAAAAGCAGGGTGCTGATGGGTACCGGCCAATAACCTTGCTGTCGGTGATCTATAGGGTTTGGGCCTCAATCCGCACGCGTCAGCTCTTGAGAGCGCTGCAACAGCAGATGCCTGAAGAGATGTTTGGATTCGTGCCGGAAAAAGAGACGGCTGACCTCTGGATCAGCCTCCAAGCCAAAATAGAGACAGCCTGCCAACTTGGGCAACCGCTGACAGGATGTGTGGCGGATGTGGTGAAGGCGTTCAACGGCCTTCCTCGTGGCCCTTTGCTGAGGGCGGCTGCCCGTTTAGGCTTCCCGCAGTGTGTGCTCACGCCGTGGGTATCGTTCATCTCGCAGATCCAGCGAAGGTTCGTGCTGGGGGAGTCGGTCAGTGCAGCCGTGCACTCCTCTTCAGGTTTCATTGAAGGTGACCCTTTATCGGTCACGGCCATGTCGGTTGCTTCCATTTTGTACCATGCCTACCTTCGACTTTGAGCCACGCATACAGCATGCATCATACGTGGACAATCTTGCGCTCACGGCTGACACGGTGTATCTGTCTGCTAGAGGGTACATAGTCATGGAGAGCTTCTGGGAGTTGCTGGGCCTTGAGTTAGACCACGAAAAGTCTTACTTCTGGGCCACGCAGGCGCAGGACCGTAGACTGCTGGTCACACTAGGCCTCGCTGTAAAGGAGCACCGTAGAGAGCTTGGGGGCTACTTGACTTTTGGCGCGCGACACAGAGTTGCAGACATGTCCCAAAGACTAGAGCTGTTGCAACCTCTGTGGCAGGCGCTTAGGCGCAGCAAGGCGCCGGCCAAACAGAAGTGGGCCGCCGTCGCCACCAAGCTTTGGCCTATGATCTTCCATGGCGCTGCAGCCTGTTGGCTGTCCACTGCCGTGTTAGACAAGCTACGAGCGCGGATGGCGTGGGCTCTGGGATGGACGTGTGCCGGCGCGGGGCCGGACTTGCGTGCCTTAACCGAGGGTCCAATGGACCTTGACCCGGCATTCTTCCAGATCTGGACATGCTTTCGGGACTTTAGGCGGTTAGTGTCTAAGAGCGTTTTCCTAAGGCAGGATTGGGCAAGGTTCATGTTCAACTTTCAGGGGACGCATCTGGCCGGGCCCTTCTCGACGATGCTGCGCCACGCGGACTGCTTGGGTTGGGGATTTGCAGCACCGCCGGAGTTCACAGATCACCGAGGCCTGGCTCATGACTTTCTGCTCATGCCGCGGAAGACACTGAGATGGCTTGTTGAGGAGGCGTGGGCCAGAGTAGTCCTGCGCAAGCAGGCCTCGAGGGCAGCCTTGACGCGAATGGGAGAAGTGGACCTGCAGCTGGCTCGAGAAGTCGGACGCCATTGCACTTCCCAGCAGAAGGCTTGGCTTGGGCAGATCCGAGCAGGAGCTGCTATCACAGCGGAACAGCAGGCCCGCTTCGACCTTAGCAAGGTGGCGAACTGCTTGCACTGTCAAACGCCGGACTCAAAAGGGCACAGACTTTTTGACTGTGCCACATATCCAAGAGAGGGACTTGTGCGCGATGCAGAGGACACTCCACCGCTCTGCGAACTGCTGCTTCCCACGTGGCATGCTCACATGCAGGAGCACTTGCAAGACCTCATGCAAGTGACAGATGACAGCTGGAACTGGACCACGTGGTGCGTGGACATTTCGCATGTGGACGTCTTCACGGATGGCTCTTGCCAATTTGGCGAAGAGGATATGCTGGCGCTTGGTGCTTGGGCTGTGGTCTGCGCCCAACTGGGTGTGGTTGTTGCCAGCGGACAAGTCCCAGGGCTATGCCAAACCATAGACCGTTGCGAGCTCCTGGCGGTCATTGTGGCACTACGCTGGGCGGCGGCGATGGGATGTGGCATGACAATCTGGACGGATTCCAAGTTCGTCTTTGAGGGCATCTCGACGCTGCTCAACGGAGAGAGTTTGTCAGGCCTCGCGCACCCGGACCTCTGGACGGAGGCGGAGAGCCTCTTGGAGTGTGGTTCGAGCATCTTCATCCTGCTTGTGCCGTCACATGTGGACCCGCGCTTGTGCGACGATCCAGTCGCAGAATGGGCTACCCACTGGAACGGAACGGCAGACCGTCAGGCGGGAATCATGAACGAGATGCGAAACGAGGCCTTCAAGTCCAGACACACAGCCCTCCTGCGCTACAGACGCAGGCAGAGGAGACGACTGCAGGCTCTTGCGGACCAGTACATTCGTGTGGCTGAGGTCACACAAGCCATGCGGCCTTCCAGCGCGTGCGTGGAAGATGAGACAGTAGCCGGGCCTGTACAGCAGCCTGAGGTCATCATCCATGACAGCTTTGCGGATCTTTTCCCAGTAGGATGGACCCAGCAGCTCACCAAAGGTGGAGGGCTGGGAGATGGTGAAAAGCTCGCCATCGCACAACGAATTTTGACCAGTGACGAGAGTGCCGTGACCAAGTTTAGGGTTTCTTGGATCGAGTTGGTGTTTTTGGTGGTTGTGATTCATTGTTGTGGTTGCCGGAGCCAGTCTCGCACGCTCGCGTACTGGGTCACGAGTTTCCGGAAGATCCTGCGGCCACTCCTGATGAGTTTCGGGGCCAGAGGCTGGATTGTGCGCTCTAGTCTTGAGGGGGTTTCGTTTCCTCTTGAGGCTTTGGTGGTTGGTGTTTCCTTAGAGGAGTTGAACTCTGCCAGGAGCCTTTTCCGGGAGTGGCGGGGAGGGAGGACTCTTAGAAAAGTTGCTGACCTTGCCAGGCCGCTTTAAGCTTCTGCTTTAGGTGGGCTGGCGGGTTCTTCTGACCGCAGGGCTACGGCCCCTGCTGAACAGCTAACGGACGCTTCGCCCTCATGCAGCCTTGCACCGCGCTCGCTGTGCTGGCTGTGTGCAAGTCGTGTCTGCATCAACCCGTAACCCCCAGACGGAGACTTGAAGCATCACCTGCCGCTAGCTACTTGGAGGTTCATCGTACTTATTTCACCAATTTATAACTGTACTTAAGACCTACTTACAAGCCCTTTTAAGTGCCCTAATATGGTTATAAGTACAGCTCCAAGTACAGCTAGAACTGGCTAATACGTACCATGAACCTCGAAGTAAGGCAGGGACTCAGATCTACCGGGTGCCGCCCACGTCCGCGAGTGCACCCTGGCTTTGCAATGAAGACGCCGGCAAGGCTGCCTGTGGATCAAGAATGGCATTTTCCCAAAATCTTCAAACCCTTAAAGCCCTAAAGCCCTAAACCCTAAACCCTAAACCCTAAACCCTAAACCCTAAACCCTACAGTGTCAGACAAGCGAAGTGAGAAACTCAGCTTTCTCGAAGCCCGCTAGATTCTCGCAGAGCGCCCAGGCTTTCCCGCACATGAGCTGTGGACCTTGATGGGACACGCCTCGGAGGAATTCCGACAGGCCTTATCCCCTCCCCCAAATATTCGACCCACCCGATTTATGAAATACTCCCATTAGTGTCATCTTATAGTGTATGGGGAGTATTTGATGTCAGGGGGTACGGGGTTTTATGTTAGGGGGAGGGGATTTCTTGGTGGCTCAGTGGTACCCCCTTTTTTGCATGTTTGGATTTCGGTCCCCTTATAAAGCAACCAACCCCCGAAAAGGGTGCCCTTCTCATGATGTGTGTGTGTGTGTGTTTTGTTTTTTAGGCCTTCCTGGGCTTCCAAGCTTTTCTGGGTTCTTGTGAAAGAGCTGAAATGAAGTTTCGATCGCAGGGGTATGCAGACAAACCCATGTAGCCTCCAAGCGCGGGTAGCTTAAAGTAAGAAGTCAAGAGCCCAGCTTTCCTTGTCTTATGCCCGGGGTCTTGCTAGGGAACCTCATGATGGCCATCCGCTTTTCATGGTGCCATGATGCTGCCGCATTGCAGAGACCTCGCAAGGATTCGACATTCGAATTGCAAGGGCCTAGCTCAACCTATAAACCTTAAACCTTCAACCCTAAACCCTAAACCCTAAACCCTAAACCCTAAACCCTAAACCCTAAACCCTAAACCCTAAACCCTAAACCCTAAACCCTAAACCCTAAACCCTAAACCCTAAACCCTGAACCCTGAACCCTGAACCCTAAACCCTGAACCCTAAACCTTAAGCCCTCACAGCCATCTAAAAAGAGAAGCCCGCGACACACCATGAACTTGGCAGGCAAATCCTGCGAAGGATCTCCCACCTGGTCCCTGGAACTACTGGGTCTTGCCTCTCCTGAAAGAGGCCCACCCCTCAACCTGAAAGGGGTTCAGGGTTTAGGGTTTTAGGGTTTAGGGTTCAGCACTCCGGGTCAAGCAGTTTTATGGCTAAACTTTATTTACGGCTCTGATATAACACCCACCCACCCAGAGAATGCCATAACATTGAGAAAGCAAAATCTGAAAAAAAGCGGCCAAAAACCGCTGAAAACAAAGCGGCCAAAAACTGAAAATGCAGCGGCCAAAAACTGAAAACAAAGCGGCCAAAATCTGAACATACAGCGTCTGAAAATAAAGCGGCCAAGAACTGAAAACAAAGCGGCCAAAAACTGAAAATAAAGCGGCCAAAAACTGAAAAACAAACGGCCAAAAACTGAAATTCAATTAAGGTTTAAATACATATGGTAGAGAGGGTTTAGGGCCGAGTTCCGTGCGTTTGGGGGCTTTTGGGACACTGACCCCAACCCCAGGGCCCTAAACCCCTAGATCCTTGTGAGCTTTGGTGTATTGACACCCGTCCCATCCCCAAAGACCTTTGCATTCCGAACTTGTTTAGAGTTTAGGGTAGTGTTTGGGTTGTCAGCACTGCTTGACGGGGCTTCAGGGGCTTCGGGGGGTTTGGGTCGGGGGTGTCAACCTCGACAGGCCAGTGCAACGCAGACCACCTTGATCGACTGCGTTGGGTTTGTGGCCGCCTGCGCGGCTTGGGCGCAAGAAACTGCCGGGGGGGGGGGGGAGGGAATTCTGCTGGCCCTGAGCCCAAGCAACCCAAAAGACTCTAGAGCCCTGAGATTCAAAAAGCCTTGCAGGTCCTAAGTAAACCCGAAAGCTCTCCTGAGTTCTCAACCCCGAATCCGAAACCGTAAGCCTTGAATTCAAGCCCTAAGCCCTGAAAGCCCCGGCACCTCAGGCGGAGTCCTCTGTGCTCGTGGGCTCCGGGGCCCTCCACAGCCCCGCACTGCTCGCAGCGCTGGCCGCCCATTGGCTTAAGGGTTTCGGGTTTAGGGTTTGTTTGTGTTGGGCTCAAACTTTGGGGGGTTCGGGTCCCGCGGTCTAAGGGGGTGCTTGGGGACTTAGGGCTGAGAGTGGAATTGGCCAGTGCTTGGTGTTGAGGGCTTAGGGTTCAGGGGCTCACGGCTTTCAAAATCGTTTCGGAATCATGCAGGCCTGAAGGTTGCAGCCGAGTGGGCTCTTAGTCAGTCAAGATGGAGATGCCTCTTCAACCCACAGGAGTCCAAAACGCGGGAGCCCGACACCTGGCCGTGGTAACAACAAACATCCTAAACCCCAAACTAGCCTTAAACCCTGAACCCTGAACCCTGAACCCTGAACCCTGAACCCTGAACCCTGAACCCTGAACCCTAAACCCTAAACCCTAAACCCTAAACCCTAAACCCTACACCCTAGCAAGAAGCCTAAACAGCCCGGTTCTTCCCCTAAGGCCCTTGGCCGCTCGGACGGCGAGGAGCTGAGCCGCTTCGCAGAGGCGGTTGGGTCGGGCCCTGAGGCGATAGTTTCTTTTTTTGTTGGTTCTTATGCTCGTGTTGGGGTTTAGGGTTTAGGGTTTACGGTTTAGGGTTTAGGGTTTAGGGTTTCGGGTACAACCCAAGTGGATTCTCCATCCGCATGTCGAGGAGTTTGGGGTTTAGGGTTTAGGGTTTAGGTTCCCCCCATAATCAGCGCAATGTGGGGATAACGAATCCGAACTCACGCCACTCAAGGGGGAAACCTACGGGGGGTCTAGTATAGAGGGGGGTAGGTATAGGGGAACCCATGATGTTTGTTTTAACGCAGCCTGGCCATGAGATAAGGATTCTGAAAAGCTCATCAGGCCTTGAACACCCCCATAAGGCCCTAGATATCCCAAGAAGCTTGAGAACGCCTGTCCGAAGGCCGTAGGCGCTGAAACCCTAAAACTCAGAAATATGATCAACAAGTGCGGGAAAATTCTGTTGCTCTCGAACCTTAGAAAAGCCTTGGCAGCGTCGTTTAGGTCGCGGGTCTACTCGCTGGGGAAGCCTTGGCAAAACGTTGAGGACGGGTTTTGAAGTCTGACATCCGACAGTGGCAGGGAGGGGGGAGGTTTTGGGGGGCGGGCTGGGGGGGTTGGGGTTGTGGGGGGAGGGTGTGGTGGGGGTGGGGTGGGTTGGTGGGGTTGGGTTTGGGTGGGCTTTTTGGGTGGGGTTGGGGGTTGGGGGGGGGGCGGTGGGGGTTGTTGGAGCGATGGGTGTTTGCGTCTTTTGCTTTGGGTGTTTGGGGTTTCAGGAAAGTTTGCCTAGCAGGAACGCTCCATCGGTATTAGAAGTCGCTCAGGGCTCAGGGTTCCCTCAAGGCCTAAACTCTCCTTAAACTCTAAACCCTAAACCCTAAACCCTAAACCCCAAACCCCAAACCCTAAACCCTCAACCCTGGAAACTTACAAACTCCAGGAGCTCCCCTTCAGCGGTTCCGGCGGCTATGCGGCGTCTGGCGGCCCTGGCGGAGAAAAATCTCGCGCCGGCGGTTCTAGAAGTGTGAAGAGCCTCAGCAACCCTAAGGTCCCAGAGAACCTAAAGCTGAAAGTTGGGATGTTCCCTTTTTTTACTAACAGTCCTCAATAGGGATTATCGTTCCCCTAATTACAATCCCCTAGTCAGGACTGTTACTGTTAGTATAAGGGGGAACATCTAAGCCGAAAGCCCTTCCCCTAGGCCTAGTTACAGACTTTTGCAGATTTGGTAAGTTTGCGGGCTGATTTCTGCGCAGGTGATGCATGCTGGGTTTAGGCTCCAAGCCCCGCAGCCCTCGACCCTAGTATGATGAAGGGCTTGGTGACTTGAGTTGGCAGATATGGGGAAACGCTTTGGGGCTTGCAGCCCGCGCAAGACGCTCAACCGACCATTGGGGTTTCCGAAAATAGGAGGTGCCCCTTTTGGGGGTTTATTGAATGCGGATTAGAGTTTTTTGAGGGTGTCCCTACTTTGGGAAATGCCCGAATAGCTCTAACGAGAGCCTTAGAGAAATATACTTGAAAAATTACTTGTTGGGTACTATAGTTCCTAAGAAACGGCAAACATGAAATTTTGCGAGGGTTCCAAGTTCAGTTAAGAACCCTAAGCCCTAAGCCCTAAATTTAAGAGCCTCCGGCTCAAGCCGCCGACCGCGCTGGAGCATAGTTGAAAGGTTTAAACGCGTTCGTTAGGTCAAAGGATGCCAAAGTTGGTGGGGGGGGGGTAGGGGTAGGGGGGGTGGGGGGGGGGGGGGGTTGGGGGGGTAGGGGGGGTGGGGGGGGGGGGGGGGGGGGGTGGGGGGGGGGGGGGGGGGGGGGGGGGAGGGGGGGGAAGGGGTGTCCTGGCCCATGGAAAAGCTGCCCGGGGCCCCCCCCCTAACCCCCCCCGCCCTACCACCCCCCCCTCCCCCACGTTTTGGGGGGGTAAGGAGGGAAAGAGGGAGGTTTTCACCTCACGCAGCCAGTCAATTGGACCCTAAACCCTAAACCCTGAACCCTAAACCCTAAACCCTAAACCCTAAACCCTATGCTGGGTCAGGATCAGCTCAAGAGGAAAGAGTGGCACTAACGATCCGAGAACCGCTCTGTGGCTGAGGCTGACAGCATCCTGTCCCAAGAGCCCGACTGGCCCCTGTCCCAGCATGCCTTACTGGGTTTAGGGTTTCGGGTTTAGGCTTTAGGGTTTAGGGTTCAGGGTTTAGGCTTTAGGGTTTAGGGTTTAGGGTTTCCTTGCTAGCTGGGTTTAGGGTTTAGGGTTTAGGGTTTAGGGTTTAGGGTTTAGGGTTTAGGGTTTAGGGTTTAGGGTTTAGGGTTTAGGGTAGCTCTGCCGGCTTTGCCCTGTTTTGAGATGGCTTCCCCAGATGTGCATGTATGGTACCCTCAATGCAGAGGCCGGTCTGCTCTCAGATCCGATGACTAACAGCATGTATCTTGAGCCCCTAAACAGAGCAGCGCTGACATCTTTTTCCATGCCGGTGTCTACAGGGAAGGGTTCAGGGCTCAGGTTTCAGGAAGGCTTCAAGGTTTCAGTCTTGATTAACCTTGAGGTTCAGTTTTCAGGGTCTAGTTTGCCCATGACATGCTCGCAGTTTAGTGCACCCTAAGGCCCTAAGCCCGAGCTCCTCATCCCAATCCCAAAAAAGCCCCTGAGGACGCAATCCATCCAAATCCTTGCCTCCCTAAAACCCTAAACCCTTACCCCTAAACCCTAAACCCTAAACCCTATACCCCAAACCCTAAACCGTATGCCGAGGCACCTTTTCCGGAGCGCGGGGGGCTTGGCGGAGTATTGGGGAGGGGGTTGAGTATTAAACCCTAAGCCCTAAACCCTAAACCTTTAAACCCTTGAACGCTTAAGGCCTTAAAACTAAAGCCTAAAGCCTAAAGCCTAAAGCCTAAACCCTAAAGCCTAAAGCCTAAAGCCTAAAGCCTAAAGCCTAAAGCCTGAAGCCTGAAGCCTGAAGCCTAAAGCCTAAAGCCTGAAGCCTGAAGCCTAAAGCCTAAAGCCTAAAGCCTAAACCCGAAAACCCAAAACCTTGGTTTAGGGTTCAGGGTTTAGGGTTTAAAGGTTTAGGGTAGGGCCTGAATTAAAAGACCAAGCATACGGGACAATCAGGGCTTCCGTAGTCATACACAAACAAAACGCATGACGATCAACATCAGTGATGGTAAGAAAAATGATAGTCATAGCCATAATAATGTTTTTTTCAGAATAAAGATATGATTTGGAATTTTCCCCCTTCTACTAACTAACAGGTCCTTAATTGGGATTATAGTACCTCTCCCCCTCCTACTGTAATCCCTATTAAGGGGGGACATCCCAAATATTTTATGGGCTTAGAATGATGATAAAGCATGCGGATCGTAATTCAAATGGGCATTTCCCAAAAAAGGAGTACCCCCCTTTTATACCCCAAATAGAATAGAATCCCCTTAAAGGGACCGCGAAAAAGGGTACCCCTATATTCGGAAACCCGAAACGCTAAACCCTAAACCCTAAGCCCCAAACCCTAAACCCTAAACCCTAAACCCTAAACCCTAAACCTTAAACCCTAAACCCTAAACCCTAAACCCTAAACCCTAAACCCTAAACCCTAAACCCCCATATGAATAAGGCACCCAAGTCCTAAAACCCTAAACCCTAAACCCTAAACCCTAAACCCTAAACCCTAAACGCTAAACCCTAAACCCTAAACCCCATATGAATAAGGCACCCAAGTCCTAAAACCCTAAACCCTAAACCCTAAACCCTAAACCCTAAACCCTAAACCCTAAACCCTAAACCCTAAACCCTAAACGCTAAACCCTAAACCCTAAACCCTAAACCCCTATATGAATAAGGCACCCAAGTCCTAAAACCCTAAACCCTAAACCCTAAACCCTAAACGCTAAACGCTAAACCCTAAACCCTAAACCCTAAACCCTAAACCCTAAACCCTAAAGCCTAAACCCTAAACCCTAAACCCTAAACCCCCAAATATTGGGGCAGGAAACTCTACACCGAGGCATCCACGGCAGCGTTGGCGCTGTGCAAGCGCATGCTGGACAAGGACGGTTTCAGGGTTTAGGGTTTAGGGTTTAGGGTTTAGGGTATGGGGTTTAGGGTTTAGGGTCTAGGGTCTAGGGTCTAGGGTTTAGGGTTTAGGGTTTAGGGCTAGAGTTTCAGGGTTGAGGGTTTTCGGGGTTAGGGTTTTGGGGGTTCAGGGTTTTTGGGTTGAGGGTTTTGGGGGTGTAGGGGTTTTAGGGTTTAGACTTTCAGGGTTGAGCGTTTTGCGGGTTAGGGTTTTAGGGTGTAGGGTGCATCCTTGAAACCGAGAGACCACATGCCCCGAACCCTAAACTAAACCTCCAAGCCCAACCACAAGCCCTGCAGGCTAATGGACCTCAGACCTTACAACCTCTGACCTGAACCCTAAACATTAAACCCCAAGCCTACACCCTAAACCCTAAACCCTAAACCCTAAACCCTAAACCCTAAACCCTAAACCCCAAACCCCAAACCCCAAACCCCAAACCCCAAACCCCAAACCCCAAACCCCAGACCCCAAGCCCTAAACCCTAAGCCCTACACCCGCAGCGTTCTGAATCCCTCTCGGCCCTGAACCCTACACCGAGCCACACCCCATGAATCCGAGACCCCTGTCAACCCGCTCAAGCCTATGTCAAACAGGTTGTGTAATACCCTGGTTTAGGGTTTAGGGTTCAGGGTTTAGTGTTTAGGGTGAGTGCAAAAGGGAGGTTCCTTACACATTTTGTTGAGTGTATATATTGGCCGTACTTCATATTGCCCTAAGTCCCCATTCCCGCAATCACCCCAGACCCGAAACCCTGTCACTCCCCCTTTTTTTCCTTAAGCCCTAAACCCTTTCCCCAAAGCCCTAAGCCTGCCGTTTTAGGGTGTAGGGTTGTAAACCCTAAACCATAAACTGTAGGGTTTAGGGTTTGAGCTTTAGGGTTTAGGGTTTCGGGCTTAGGGTTTAGGTTTTAGGGTTTAGGGTTTCGGGTTTCGGGTAAAACCCTAAAGCCCCCCGACCCGACCAGCCCCCGAGGATGAGATGGCTCGGCCGACAGCTGGCGATTGCCTCAGGCAGGCGCCCTAAGTCCTTTGAAAGGCCCTCCTGACACCCCTCAAAACCCTAAACCCTAACCCCAAAGCCCTAAATCCCTGAACCTTAAACCCGTAAACCCTAACCCTAAACCCTAAACTCAGGGCTTAGGCCGCCCCCCACTGTAGGGGGGCGACGCTCAAGCCCCTCGACATCCATGGCGCAAGCCGACCCAGATGTGAGCCCCAGGCTTCTGGACCAAAAAGGAACTCTGGCCTGACAGAACGCCTGGCCATTGGAACCTCTTGGACCCCCCGTGCAACTGGGACCCTGAACCCGAAACCCGAAAACCTAAACTCAGCCTCATAAACCCTCTAAACCCTAAACCCTAAACCCTAAACCCTAAACCCTAAACCCTAAACCCTAAACCCTGAGCCCCGATTTCAGGGGCTTTGGGGGTCCTCTTTCCACCTGTAGCGCGTGCCACCCACCAGCCGCCAAGACACCAAAGCCTCTAACAGCCCCTAAAGCTTGTAAAGCCCTAGAACCCCTTGAAATCCAACCCTAAGCCATTCTGGCCCTAAAACCTCCATGACCCCAAGCCCTAGGCCCCAAGCCCTAGGCCCTAAGGCCTAGGCCCTAAGCCCTGCTACGGCCGTAATACTACTATGATTACTGATTATTCCTAGTATTATTGCTACTACGATTGCTATCATGATTACAATGACTGCGATTTATTTCCATTATTATTACTACAGTTATTATCATTGCTACTAGTATTGCTGTTACTACTATGCGTATGATTGATTAGTACTCTTGCAACCCTATAAGCCCTCTAAGCCCTACAAGCCCTATAAGCCCTATAAGCCCTATAAGCTCTATAAGCCCTCTAAGCCCTATCAGCCCTATAAGCCCTCTAAGCCCTATAAGCCCTCTAAGCCCTATCAGCCCTCTAAGCCCTCTAAGCCATATAAGCCCTATAAGCCCTACAAGCCCCATAAGCCCCATAAGCCCGATAAGCCCTATGAGCCCTATGAGCCCTCTTGGCGCCTCCGTTTGCAACAGGCATCCCTGGCTGTCCTCCTGGACCTTCAACGCCCCTACTCCCGAGCTGCCGCAGCCTCGGCTCAGACGGAGTGTAGGAACCCGAAGCCCCCAAGCCCAAAGCCCTAAACCCTAAACCCTAAACCCTAAACCCCAAACCCTAAACCCCAAACCCTAAACCCTAAACCCCAAACCCTAAACTCTCCAGCCCTGCACCAAAAATATCTTCTGCTGCTCTCTCAGGCCGCTCCTGCCCGAGACGTTCAGCGCACTGATGCAGCCCCTGGGCTCCGGCTGGTGTAGGAGGGCCGAACCTTCGACTTGCAGCCCTAAACCCTAAACCCTAAACCCTAAACCCCAAACCCGAAACCCTAAACCCTAAACCCTAAACCCTAAACCCTAAACCCTAAACCCTGAACCCTGAACCCTGAACCCTGAACCCTGAACCCTGAACCCTGAACCCTGAACCCTGAACCCTGAACCCTGAACCCTGAACCCTGAACCCCAAGCCTTAAGCCAGAAGCCCACGATCACCCCCAGGTCCCATGCCCAGTCTAAGTTCTTCCAGGCCGTGGCTTCTTTTGGGAGTTCAAGGGATTCGGGTTTAGGGTTTGGGGTTTCGGGTTCAGGGTTTAGGGTTTCGGGTTTAGGGTTTAGGGTTTAGTGCTTAGGGCTTAGGGTTCAGGGTTTCGGGTTTAGGGTTTAGGGTTTCGGGTTTAGGGTTTCGGGTTCAGGGTTTCGGGTTTAGGGTTTCTGGTTTACGGTTTTGGGTTTAGGGTTTAGGGTGTATGGTTTCGGGTTTAGGGTTTCGGGTTCAAGGTTTCGGGTTTAGGGTTTCGGGTTCAGGGTTTCGGGCTTCGGGTTTAGGGTTTTGGGTTTCGGGTTTAGAGTTTAGGTGTTTCGGTTTGGGGTTGCGGGTCTGAGTTTTTTGGGTTTGGGGTTTGGGGTTCCGGGTTTGGGGATTGTTGGCGTGGCCCAGGGCACCTTAAAATGGGCGCACTCTAAAACCCTAAACCCTGTGGCCAAAACTCTAAACCCCAAACCCTTTCCCTAAACTGTATAAAGCCAAACCCTTCATCAGCAAGCGCTCCTTTAGCGATAGGAAGGGCTGATTATCAGCTGTCGGCTTCTGCCAGGGAATGTTAGGGATTTGGGGGTGTTTAGGGTTTTGGAAGTTTTAGGGTTTATGCATTTTAGGGTGTTTAGGGTTTTGGCACTTAGGGCCAAGGGCCCAGGGTTTTTGTTTTCTTGGTGGTGGTGGTGATGCTGCAGCTGCAAAATTCAGTCGGAGTGAGCAGGTCATCATAAGCCCCCCCCCCAAACCCTGAGAAGTCTAGCTGCTGGCTTTGTGTGTTTTGGGAGCTCTTGTGCGCCCCTAAACCCTAAACCCGATCATCAAGGCAGTCATACTGGGACCCCCAAGGATGTACGCTGAAGGAGATTCCTTTAGCATACTCCTACTATGGCCCTCATATTCCCTAACAGGATCTCTAGAAAAAGTGTTCCCCAAACCCAAGGGCTACAACCTTAGAGGCCCAAGGCAGAGTCCCGTGAGACGAGCTTTTCGCACAGGTGTTGATGAATGTGGTTGCGAGCGAGATCAAGGCCATCCTTAGCTCCCTAAAGGGGAAAAGGCTCTATAAGACCCTGACTAGATAATATAAGGGGGGAAAGTAGGGACGGACTCTATCTCAAACCTAACCCTAAACCCGAAACCCTAAACCCGAAACCCGAAACCCTAAACCCTAAACCCTAAACCCTAAAGGAATCCTGCAGGAGCTACCAAACACCTCACGCGCCATTTTTGGGCCTGACGCTCGACGTCCTCAAGTGTAAGCCGGCTGCCTGTCGGACGAGCGGCAAGCATTGTTCGAAGTAGTTCTCGCGCTACTACTGTTATTACTGTTTTATATTAATTACTATCGTTTCGTTTATTGTTGTTGTTACTATTGTGATTGTTGCCATTCGATGAATGACATTTCTACTTGACCCTTCCTCTCTTGCCATACGCAGCACAAGCATGCCCATACCCTAAGCCCTGAACCCCAAACCCTAAACCCTAAGCCCTAAACCCTAAACCCTGAACCCTAAACCCTAAACCCTAAACCCTAAACCCTGCCCCTCTGTAGGTGGGACGTTTGGGCCTGGTGCATGGGGCCTTCGAGCGAGTTGATGCCAGCGGCAGCCGGCCACCCAGTGACGAGTGGGGGGTGAGGTAGGCTTAGGGTCTAGGGTTTAGGGTTTAGGGTTTAGGGTTTAGGGTTTAGGGTTTAGAGTTTAGGGTTTAGGGTTTGGGGCTTTGGGTTTAGGGTTTAGGGTTTTGGGTACGGGCTACCTAAATTAGTGTCGCTTTAGGGTTTCGGGTCAGGGCTCTGAGGCCAGTGTTATGGTCTGACAGCGCAGTTCGCCCGCCCAATTCTGAGCAATTCTGAGCTGCTCCTCCTTCACCCTACGCCGCTGCTGGTGCTTCGCGTAGTCAGCTCGAAGCCCAGAACCCTACCAGACTTCGTCACTTCTCTAAATTCTGCTCCCTCATGTGGGGTGCGATTATCAGGCGATCCCGAAGATTTAAGGTGCCCAAAAGGGAGCATGAGTTGAAGAGCTGCGAAAGGCCCAAACTCTAAGCTCTTGCTCTGGAAGCATGTCTTGGACCCTGCTGTGAGCGCCCTCTACCGTGTCCCTGAACCTTAAGAAGCTCCATCCCCTGCATGTCAGCACTATATGGAAAGGCCATATCAGAAAACGACTATATCATAGAAGATCAGAAGTAAGCCCTGAACCCTAAACCCTAAACCCGAAACCCTACTTCAAAGACAAAGCAGAGATGGCCACCCCTGGGCGGCCGAGGTGGCTACGTCTCCAGTCAGGGGCTACAGGTCGCCACGGGGGGCACCGAGAACCCTGCGCCCTCAACCCTTTGGGGTTTAGGGTTTAGGGTTTAGGGTTTAGGGTTTAGGGTTTAGGGTTCGGCCTTAAGGCCCTGAACCCTAAAACTTAGAACCTACAACCCTGAACCTTAAAACCCGAAAACCCTAAACCCCGCCCTCCCCACCCTTTGGTTGGGGGCTCCTGAAAACTCTGTATACTCACTGGACCCAGAGTCTTGGGGTTTGTGTATAGGTTTTGGGGTTTAGGGGCCAAAGCTCTATAAACCCTTACAAGCATTGGCCACTAAGTTCAGCCCCTAAGACCTGCTCTGCAGCCCTCGGTACCCCTAAACCCCAAACCAAACCCTAAACCCGAGCCCGGCACCCTGTCTGTCACTGTAGCGAGGCGGCCCTGAAGCAGCTGGGTGTATCGGCCGGGGCGCACAGCCCTTGAAGAACTTTGCAACCACCCCGGACCCCGGTTTCCGGTTTCTAGCCCAGTGGTGCCCTTTACCCTTTTTGGTTGTGGGTCCCCTGAGAAAGTAGCCAGCCCAACAGAAGGTGCCCTTATTTTAATATGGTTCCTGGGCTACCCAGAACCTCGGGTGTAAATCCCCATGTGTGCAGTGTGGGGACCCGTGCGAGTTGCTTATCGACTTATCGTGGTATACTCATTTCAGGGTGTGAGGTGTGTGAAGGAGTGTCGGCGGCTTTCCCTCAAGCCGAGGCCCACAAAGCCTCCCCTAAACCCCAAACCCTAAACCCTAAACCCTAAACCCCAAACCCCAAGCCCCTCAAAGGAGGTACAGGTTTTCAGTGCTTCGTGTTTCCCAGCGTCGCCCTTGAATTTGACTGAACTACTGCCTCGATGCCCTGCTTCCTGTCGAAGCCCCCTCTGGACGTTGAATCCGTAGCCTTGTGCACTCGAAGTTGTATGTATGGACCTTGTCGCTTAGGGTTTAGGGTTTAGGGCGTAACTGTACCTATAACTGTACGTATAACCATATTGGGGCAAACCCTAAACCCTAAACCTAAACCCTAAACCCTAAACCCTAAACCCTCAACCCTCAACCCTAAACCCTAAACCCTGAACCCTGAACCCTGAAGACCTCACCCTTGGAGCCCCGAACCGCCGTTTGCCGATCCTCAAGCCGGTTTCCCCTCTCCGCCCCGCGCGGACGCGCGCGATGCGCGCGGACACGGCGGAGACTGGGTCGCCATGGCAGAGGTGGGGTTTTGGGGGGCTGGGTTTAGGGGGGTTTACGGGGGTTTAGGGGGGCTTAGGGGCTTAAGGGGTTTAGGAGGTTTGGGGGGGTTTAGGGGGTTTCAGGGGTTTTGGGGGTTTTAACCGCGTTTTAGGGGCGTTTAGGCGGTTGTTTAGGGATGCTCTGGGAGCCCATGCAGTTGGGATGTAAGTTTCAGGCGTACGGCTTGGGACCCCTGGGTGTCTGATCTGGTTTTGGGGGTTTTGGGGGTTTTGGGGGGTTTCGGGGGTTTCGGGGGTTTTGGGGGTTTTGGGGGTTTTTGGGGTTTTGGGGGGTTTTGGGGGTTTCGGGGGTTTCGGGGGTTTGGGGGGTTTCGGGGGTTTCGGGGGTTTTGGGTTTTTTGGGTGCATAATAGGGGTCTGGCATGTGTGGGTTGAAGTTTTTGGGGGTGCGGGCTCGTATGCAACCGCTATAGGGTCCTTAAGGGGAGGGGGGTCCTTAAGGGAGCATGTAGCCCAGGGTTCCCTAGGGCTCCCCACTGCTCTCCAAAACTCCATGAGCTTCTCTAGGTACTATCCCCTATGAACCTCCCCACCCGGAGAAAACTGCCAGGAAGTCCTGAATCCCACGTTTTTTTATTTTTATTTTTTTGGGGGGGGGGGGGTGTCGGGCTTTCAGGGGGCTGTTTAGGGTTCAGGGTTTAGGGCTCCACGGCAGCATGAGTGATCACAGCAGTGAATCTCCTCCTCAGTCCAGAAGCCTTCAAGCTGGGAACCTCCGAACCTCCAACACGACTAACCCTAATCCCCACCCCCCCTAGACCAGCAACTAAGGCAATTTAAATCCTAAACCCTAACCCTAATCCCAAAAGCCCAGAACACGAAACCCTAACCCCCCCCCCCCACCCCCACCCTAAGCCCTGTCAGGCTGAGAAGTGTGACATCACAATTTGCAGAGGGACAGCAGAGTCTGCGAAGACATTCACGCTGCCCCTGGGCCGTTTTGTTGTGTGCAATACCACACCGTCTTTAACTCCAAAACCCTAAACCCTAATCCCCGAACTTAGCCCCAAACCCTAAACCCTAAACCCTAAACCTTAAACCCTAAACCCTAAACCCTCAACCCTAAGCCCTAAACCCTAGGCCCTCAACCTCCAAATTGAGGCTCCTTCTTCGGCTTGTAAGGGGCTCCATCCATGGCAGGAACCCTAAACCCTAAACCCTCGCCCTAAACCCTAAACCCTAAACGGGCGTAGAATGTCTCCAGATGCCACAACCCCGATTCAGCCCGAGGAGTGTGGGCGGCGTGCTCAGAATAGGCTGCGGCAGGGTTTAGGGTTTAAGGTTTAGGGTTTAGGGTTTAGAGTTTAGGGTTTAAGGGATTCGGTTTAGGGTTTAAGGGATTCGGTTTAGGGTTTAAGGTTTAGGTTTAGGGTTTAGTGTTTAGGGGTTCAGGGTTCAGGGTTCAGGGTTTAGGGTTCAGGGTTCAGGGTTCAGGGGCTTTGATGTTGGGGTGTGTGGGGAGCGGCTGCGTACGGCTGTGCAGGGTTTCGTGGCCCAGGACCTTCAAAGCTGTCGGGCTTCTGGGTCACTTAGGGCTTAACATTCCGATGCGCTCATGTGTTCATGTCTTTGTGGTGCCTTACAGTAACTTTAGATCCTTAGCCTTTTTTGGGTTTATTGGGTTTCTTAATAAGGCAGCTACAAAATTTATGGCTACCCTCCTAAGTGCAGCCAAGATATGGCCAGTTCTCTAGGTTCTGGTCCCTCATCCTAAACCCTATAAGTACCTTCACCCCTAAGAGCCTAAGCAAGCTTAGTGTTCAAGTTGGGATGTTCCCCCTTTTTCTAGCAGTCCTTAAGGGATATTAGTACCCCGTAGTATAATCCCTATCCAGGACTGCTAGGATAAGGGGGAACATCCCAATGGTCAGGGTTTAAGGTGTTGGGTTTGGGAATTCAGGGGGTGTGGGGCATGAGAAGCTAGCCCTAAACCCTAAACCCTAAACCCTAAACCCTAAACCCTAAACCCGAAACCCTAAACTCTAAACCCTAAACCCTAAACCCTAAACCCTAAACCCTAAACCCTAAACCCTAAACCCTAAACCCTAAACCCTAAACCCTAAACCCTCATCAGGGCGTGGAGTCGCCAACGACGTGGTTCTGGACTTCGATGGGGTCTCTGTCTACCACGCGGAGATCCATCTTCAGCCCCATGCCCTCAGATTGATGGCACGCACGTCACTCTATGACC